CTCAGATCTCAGCCTCCAGAGTAGCTAGGATTAAAGAGGTGAACCATCAGTGTCCAGCAGACATTTCCTTTTTTTCCTCTGGCAAATATTCATGTATGTGTATATCTAAAAACCCTTCATTTGACTGTTCTAATACGCACATATATACACAACATACACATTTTCTTTGTTGACTTGTTGGTTGTTTTGGGCACCTTGACTGATCCTAGAGTTTGGCCATTGTGAACAGAGCTGCAATATACCTGGGTATGTAACTGTCTTTCTTGTATATTAATTGTACTGCCTTAGGATATATGACCAAGAATAGAATGTTTAACACAGATCTGTTTTTGCTCTTTTGAGGAACTTCCATACTGATTTCCATAGTGGTTGCAGTATTTTACTGATTTCCATAGTGTTGCACTAGTTTATATACTTTACATCCCTACCAATAACAGTATATGAGCTACCCCCTTCATACTCCCCCCATCAGTATTTGTTCTTGCTGCTTTTCTGAACTCAGCATCTGGGCACTGTCCTTGAGCCTTTTTGTGCTCAAGGGTAATGTTCTGCCACTTGAGTCACAGTGCTACTTCCAGTTTTTGAGTGATTAATTGGAGTAAGAGTTTCATGAGAACTTTTCTGCCTGGGCAAACTGCAATCCTCAGATCTCAGCCTCCTGACTAGCTTGGATTTCAGGCTTGAGCCATGGGTACCTGGTCAGTATTTGTTTTGTTTTCTTGAATACTGCCACGATGACTGGGGTAAGACAGAATCTTAGTATCATTTTGATTTGCATTTCCTTGATGGCTAAGGATGTGAACATTTTTCATGTGTTTATTAGCCATTTGTATTTCCTCTAAGAAGTGTTCAACTTGTTTGCCCATTTGTTCTTTATATATTCTAGATATTAAACCTTTATAGCTTGTTGCTAAAGATCTTCTTTCATTCCATGGGTTGTGTCTTGATTCTAGTAATTGTTTTCTTTGATGCTCAGAAACTTTAAATTTGATGCCATCACATTTGCCAATTTTTGCTCTTATCTGCTATGCTATTGTAGTCTTTTTTTTTTTGGGTCCGGTCGTGGGGCCTGAACTCTGGGCCTGGGCACTGTCCCTCAGCTCTTCAGCTCAAGGCTCTACCACTTGAGCCACAGCACCACTTCTGGCTTTTTTCTTTTTGCTTATGTGGTGCTGAGGAATCGAACCCAGGGCCTCAGGCATGCAAGGCAAGCGCTCTATCACTGAGCCACCTTCCTAGCCCTATTGTAGTCTTATTTAGAAAATAATTACCTATGTCTATGTCTCTTAGAATTTTCCCTATGTTTTCCTGTAGTAGTTTTAAGATTTTATTTAAGGTTTTACTTTTTCTTTGACCACTTGGAATTGATTTTTATACAGGGTGAGGAATAGGAGCCTTGTCTTTTTCACAGGGATACCAGTTATCCTAGCCCCATTTGTTGAAGAGGCTGTCTTCTTCCAGTATGTTTTTTGGCTATTTTGTCAAAAAATCAGACGGCGTAGTTGTGTGGCTTTATTTCTGGATCTTCTGTTCCATTGATCTTTATGTCTGTTTTTGTCACTATGGTTCTGTATATAATTTGTAGTCTGGTATTATGATACCTCCAATTTTTGCTTAGGATTACTTCTGCTATTTTGAGTTTTTCATGCTTTCATATGAACTTTAGGGTTGACTTTTCTATTGCTACAAAGAATAACATTGAGATTTTGTGGGCACTGCATTAAATCTCTAGGTTGCTTTCAGTAGTATGACCAAAGGAGGGGCAAGTAGGATTAGATTGTTCAGTTCTGGGGACTCACGCCAGTAATGCTGCTTACTTAGGAGGGTGAAATCTGAGGATCAAGTTTGAAGTTAGCCTGGGCAGACAAGTCCAGAGACATTATCTCCAAGGAACACAAATAAGATTAGTTTCAAAAGTCTGTCCCCTAGCTCTATATGTTGACTGTTGGGTGGATCAGAGCCTTGTACCTAGTCACTCTAAATTATTTGATACACATAACTGCTGCTTGTACCCACAGAGAGGAAGCACACACACACACACACACACACACACACACACACACACACACACACACACACACACACGAGTAACAGAAAACTAACACTGGTGTTTTTTGTTTTGTTGGTCATAAGGCTTAAACTCTGGGCCTGGGCACTGTCCCTCAGCTCTTCAGCCCAAGGTGAGCACTCTACCACTTGAGCCACAGCACCACTTCCAGTTTTCTGGTGATTAATTAGAGATTGAATAATGATCCTCAGATCTCAGCTTCTTGAGCAGCTAGGATTCCAGGTGTGAGCCACCATGCCCGGCTTACTTTATATAAGTTCACTTTGTCTTCTTTGCTTACTTTTGTGCGTGCGTGCGTGCGTGTGTGTGTGTGTGTGTGTGTGTGTGTTAGTACTGAGGCTTGAACTTAATGTTTTCACTCAGTCAACTGAGTAGTGCTTCCAGTCCAGGATTTTACTGGTTAATGGAAGATAAGTCTCATGAACTTTTCTGCCCAAGCTGGCTTTGAATCTGTCTGTAGATCTCAACTAACTGTGTAGCAATCTCTCTCTCAAAACAACTTTAACTTGATCTTTTCTACCTATCTCACTTCCGTGTTACATTAATTGCTTCTATTAAGTTTAGCTGCTGCCACCCTTTTCTTCCCTATATAACCACATCCTTTGTATTATTCATTAGTGCTATCCTTCCATCTCCTTGCTAATATAAGCATGGTTAACAAAGGTTAACAAAGATCATGAAGATACATCTTTGCTTCCACATTCAACTAAAGATAGTAGAGCAAGAATAAGGACTAGTAGTCATTAGAGAATGTCAAAACACAAGGGTAGCTGGGCGCCAGTGGCTAATGCTTGTAATCCTAGCTACTCAGGAGGCTGAGATCTGACAATCACTGTTCAATGCCAACCCAGGCAGGAATGTCCATGAGACTCTTATCTCCAATTAACAACCAGAAAACTGGAAGTGACGATGCGGCTCAAAGTGGTAAAGCACTAGTTTTGAGTGCAAAAGCTCAAGGAGCATTCAGACCCTGAGTTCAAACTCCAAGACTGACAAAAAGAAACAAGAACAACAAAAACCCCACAAGGTTGTGTTTTATTGATTACAATAGCTTTGATAGCCAAGCTTCCTTACCATGAGTGTAGAATAGGTCTTCACAAAGCATATTAAGCACTGAAATTGAATATTGGCTATTGAACCACACCCATTCAATCTACTAATAAGAAAATGTAGCACAATCTAGCCACTTCTCAGTCTTAAATAACTTTTTTTTTTTTTTTGGTCAGTCATGAGGCTTAGACTCTGAGCCTAGGAGCTGTCCCTGAACTCTTCAGGCTCAAGCTGAGCACTCTGCCACTTGAACCACAGCACCACTTCTGGTTCTGTGGTGGTTAACTGGAGATAAGATTCTCACAGACAGCGGGGCGCTGGTGGCTCACGCCTGTAATCCTAGCTACTCAGGAGGCTGAGATCTGAGGATCGCGGTTCAAAGCCAGCCCGGGCAAGAAAGACCGTGAGACTCCTATCTCCAATAAACCACCAGAAAACCGGAAGTGGCGCTGTAGCTCAAGTGGTAGAGCGCTCGCCTTGAGCTGAAGAGCTGAGGGACAGCGCCCAGGCCCAGAGTTCAAGCCCCACTACCGACAAAAAAAAAAAGATTCTCACAGACTTTCCTGCCCGGGCTGGCTTTGAACTATGATCCTGTGATCTCAGCCTCCTGAGTAGCTAGGATTACAGGTGTGAACCACTGTCACCCGGTATAACTTAATTAAAAACAAAATCAACTAAAATCAAAAGACTGGACAAAACTCAATATCCCTCATGACAAAAGCCCTAAAGAAACTAAGAACAGAAGGAACATACCTCAGCATAGAAAGACTATATGGGGGCTGGGAAGGTGGCTCAGTGGTACAGTGCTTGCCTCGCATTCATGAGGCCTTGGGTTCGATTCCTAAGCACCACATAAGCAGAAAAAAGCTGGAAGTGGCACTGTGGCTCAAGTGGTAGGGTGCTACCTTGATCTGAAGAGCTGAGGGACAGCACCCAGGCCCAGAGTTCAGCTTCCATAACCAACAAAAAAAAAGAAGAAAAGAAAGACTATATGGAATGAGTCTGTATACAACTGAGTAAAAAAAAGTGAAAGCATTTCCTCTAAAATAGATTATTCACTCTTCCCACTCTTAATATAGTGCTTGGATTCTTAGTTAGAGTAATAGGTAAGAAAAAGATGATACAAATAGGAAAAAGGGATACAAATAGGAAAGGAAGAAGTTAAATTAACCCTATTTGCAGAAGACATGGTCTTGTGCATAAATGACCACAGACGCCATCAGGAAATTCTAATGAACAGTTTCATTAAAGTATCAGGATACAAAACCAACATCCAGAAATCAGTAGCTTTTGGCACACCAACAATGGACTTGGTGGAAAAAAAGCTAGGAAAACGATCTCATTGACAACAGCCTCAAAAAAGCCATGCATAAACCAAAGCCAGGAGTTGGGGGGAGGGGGTATGTGGGGGTGTGTGGGGGGAGTGAAAGACCTCTAGAATGAAAATAAAACACTGAAGAAGGGGAATGAAAGACATCTAGAATAAAAATGATAAAGCCAGGCGCCAGTGGCTCATGCCTATAATCCTAGCTACTAAGGAGGTTGACATCTGAGGATCACAGTTCAAAGCCAGCCTGGGCAGGCAAGTCTGTGAGATTCTTATCTCCAATTAACCACCAGAAAACTGAAGTGATGCTGTGGCTCAAGTGGTAAAGTGCTAGCCTTGAGCTGAAGAGCTCAGGGACAATGCCCAGGCCCAGAGTTCAAGCCCCATGACCAACAGAAAGGACCAGCACAAAACAATGTATGATAAAGAAGCATATATTGTAAAAATTTATTATTTAAGTCTACTCAACAAAATGATTCACCTGTTTAGCAACTCTGAAATGTTTTCCAGGAACAGTAGGAAATGAAGTTTCAATCTTCTGTATTAGGTACTTACTCTTTAAGGCTATCCGACCGCCTCCTGTTTCTTCCCCATGAAGAACTTCTACTTCTAGTTCTCCTTTGGCTGGGGCTTCTTGATCTCCTATGATCGGTTGGAGAACAAGGATGACGTTCTTTTGATTTCATTTGGCCTGGTGCTAGAATATGAAAAAAACATACCATAATTCATTATCTGAAAACCATAATTACAACCATTTAACTTTATAATATGCCCAGTTAAAAAAAGACTGTCATTGCTCTATCATTCTGGTGAATAAAGAAGATCTAATGTTTAGTCACACTTACTTTTGCGATCACCTTGTGCAAACTGTATTTCAATTTGACGGCCACATACCCACTTCCTATTGAGATTATATAGAGCATCTTCAGCATCTCGAACATCTTCAAATATGACTAGCTGTTAAGGACACTTTGAATATGAATATCAGATAACAAAGTATTTTTAAGGTATTAGTTACATGTAAAATGCAATTAATAGAATAAAACAAGTTCTTGTTATTAAGCTAACATAATAAAATTGTTAACTTTTACTTCAAAAAGAAATGTCCTATTATGAAATAAAAGATGTAACACAAAATTGGATTTTTAATATATACATGGTAAAACTAATATGTATATATAACATAAAATACGAGAAAAAAATCATCCAAAATTGGCTACCATTATAAAAACTGTTGAGGACTCATTCACTTCTTTCAGATAAAGGATCCACTAGGGTTTTCATTGAAATTATCAGCATGCAGAACAAGCCTTTATTCTGAAATTAAAATTACTTTCATTAAAGGACTTTCTGAGTATGGCATTTATAACACTTAGAAACAAAATTGTACAAATATAAGTTAGCTAACACAAAAACTGATTTGGTACTTTAAATACTTTATCTACTTTTGCACCTACCATTTTAAACAACTCCTTGTGTTTAGTACTTGGGACAGAAGTATAGAAAAAACATAAAACAATTTTCAAACATTTGGAATTACATATACTGGTTGGAAATATACAGCTGAACTCCCTCAGTATATAAATTATATAATATTAAACCTAATTAGATATTAGCTATATAAAATTATTAAATAGATGTATTTCAGGAGGTTGTTTACTAGATTTTTTTTCTAAATAGCAAATAAGAAAAGCTCAAGAAATGCAATATAAAATGAGACTGGCAATTACCTCAATGTCACTTGATCTTGAACCTTGACCTTTACTCTTTAAGACTTGCAAGATGGACTTTATTAGAGATGAAGAACCAAAAAAATCAGACTTGGCTTTGATTCTGGAACTCTGAGTAAATGTAGGAAAGCCGAAGTCTCAAAGTTGGCTTTGTCTTTTGCTTGATAAAGACTTCCCCTCTTCCAGGTCTTTATATCTGTGTCCACCCTCCCTTTTTACTCCTTGATGCTTGAACTTTAGGTGCCTTTTGTCTTGCCTGCTTGGTTTATGCTTGGATTCTAGCTAACAGGTTGGTTCAAACTGGGGGCGCTTGCCAGCTACTGTGGACTGCTTTAGATTTTCTGAGATAAAGAAATAAACACATTTAATTAGGCAATGTTAATCTCATATGCTCCTAAATATGCATATGTTTAAACACACACATAATATATAGTATATTCACATTCACACAATAAAATAAAGGATATTGAACATAAGCAAATCCTCTTGGGCGGCGAGTGTAGAAGTCAAGTGGAATGTAAACGTCTACTATAGGGCCATAGCGACCAAACTCACGGCGCAAGTCCTCAGGCCTGAAGTGTTTTAGAAATAAGGCAAAGAAATATGAATAGCTGTATTAAAATATTTTGCCTACAGAAATCCAGTTGAAACTTTCAAAAGAAAGTGCATTGTCTAGACCAGAATTATTTGAAACTGTTTCTTGTAACAATTACTCAATATTTTGAGAGGAAGATAAAAAGAAGGAAACACCAACAACAGATCTTCAATCCACTCTCTGAAGAGCCCGTAATTCAGAAAGTCTGGATTAGGGACTTGGAATTAGTATTTTTACAAACATTCTAGGTGCTTGTTAAACTTAGTCAATTTCAATAAACACTGGCAGGGCTGGGGCATAGCTCAACTTGTAGAATATTTGCCAAGCAAGTTCAAGGTCCTGGGTTCAAATACTAGTATCACCAAACCAAACCAAACAAACCTAAGACATCCACCTTTGAAACTTACTCCCATTACAAGACTTATTACAAGTTTATTAAGGGCACATTAATTTACCTCCCTATAATTTTGTGTTTATATTAATTTTGATCCTCCAAACAGAGAACGAGAATTAAGACTCTAGAGTCAGGTGCTGGTGGCTCACATCTGTAATCCTAGTTACTCAGGAGGATCATGGTTCAAAGCCAGCCCGGGCAGGAAATTCCGTGAAACTCTTATCTCCAATAAACCACTAGAAAACCGGAAGTGGTACTGTGGCTCAAGTGGTAAGAGTGCTCACCTTGAGCTGAGGAGCGCAGGGATAGCGCCCAAGCCCAGAGCTCAAGCCCCATAACCGACAAAAAAATAATAATAATAAAAAATAAGAAGAGAAAAAGAAAAAAGAATTGTGATTCTAATAATCTTAGATTTTTATTTTTACTATAAGGCAAAGTAACTACTATATTCTCAAATTTGACAAGAACTTCCAGCCTCCCATTAGCTTTCTACTGTTACAAGTATGTAAGAGAATACACTAAGGAAATAGAGCTATTTGTATTGTGGGGCCACAATGCAGTTGAAGAGACAAAATATTTAGCAATAATAGCTAACAGTTATAGACATTTATGTACTAGTCATTGTTTACCTTAAGACTTTAATTCTCAAAACAATCCTATAGTTATTTACTGGTGAGGTGACAGATTAATCTTTTCTAATCTCTAATCTTTCTCTGAGCTAGTAAGTCACAGATCTGAAACAAAACATCTACATTCTCACACTAGTCCATGTAATTAGTCACTAAAACACACTGCTTCAGGAGATCACTGGGATTCAGCATCAAGCTTTGGGCACAAAGCTCAGAAGAAATGAGTAGTTTAAACATTTGTACAGAAAAAAGATTCAAAGTCAGATTTGACTGCAAAGCTTCTAGCTTGGGAAAATGGAAAAAAATATGTCAGTGACAAAAATTAGGTAGATGAGAAGGAAGAACTAGGTTGAAGAGAGAGAAAAACGGCAAAAAAGCAGCTTTCAGATTTAGAAATGCCAAATGTAAAGTGATGGCAGAATATTCATAAAAGTTCTGTAAGCAGGGCTGGGAATATGGCTCAGTGGTAGAGAGAGCTTGCCTAGCATGCACAAAGCTCTGGGTTCCATTCCTCAGTACCACATAAACAGAGAAAGCCAGAAGTGGCACTGTTGCTCAAGTGGTAGAACACTAGCAAAAGAAGCTCAGGGACAGTGCTCAGGCCCTGAGTTTAAGCCCCAGGACTGGCGGGGGGGAGGGAGGGGGAGCTTGTAAACAACTGAAACTGATAATGCAAATACTAACTTTTTTCTCAAGACTAGGAGACAAATTGCCCCTTAAAGCTAGAGATGAGGATTTAGCAGCTATTACATAAAAATTCAACTAACTCCAAATATCCACAAGATGATAGTCAGTGTACTCAACATTACTACAACATTCTTTATTGACTTACTATAACATGTTTGTCTACTTCCTAGATACTTAGCTTTAGAGGTCAGCAACCATGTTTTTTTTCTTTCACTAAAGTCATCCAACAAATAGGTGCCAGGCTCTAGTAGAATAACAACAAAAACAAAAGCACAGTTCTTGTTCCTATAGAGGTTGGGTAAAGATTCTCAAGCATTCTTGAATAGTTGAATCATCCCTTACAGCACAGGCACTGTTTTTTGAGACAGATGCTGGCTACATAGCCCTACTGGCCTGGAGTTCACAATCTACCTTCTTCAGTCTCCCCAGGGCTACAATTTACAAGTATGCACCACCACACCCAGCTTTGTCCATTTTTAATAACATTTGTCTTTTTATTGTTAAGTTGTTAAAGCTTATATGTTCTGGAAGCAAATCCTTGGTCAGGATACAAATATTTTGTGACTTTTATCTCAATTTGTGGTTTGATATTCTAATTCTGGTAAAGTCTAATGTATCAGTATATTTTTTCATTTATGTTACATGTTTGACCTATAAGAAATATTTGCCTATGCCCAGATCATAAAGATAATTTTGTATGCTTTCTAGTTTTATGTTTTACATTTTGATCAGTGATCCAGGATGAATTGTAACGAAGGACATTTTGATCAGTGATCCAGGATGAATTGTAACGAAGGTAACAATGCAGTTGCAGTTTGTTTTTTCCCGTTCAGTAGTTCCAGAGCTATTTGTCCTTTTTCACTGGATTGTTTTGCTGCCCTTGCCAAAAATCAATTAGCTCTGCTAAGTGTAGGTTACTTACAGACTATTGTTCTGTTCTCCTGACCTATTTTTCTACCTGTAGGCCAATAATATGACATTGTCATGGTTACTGAATCTTTTAAAGGCTAGAAGTCAGGTAATTTAAGTCCTCCAGCTTCAGTGTCCTCTTTTCCAAATTATTTTGGCTCTTACAAATTCTTGGCATATCACTATCAATTTGTCAATTTCCATTAAAAAAAACTTTAATCAGTATTTCCTTGATCATAAGTCAACTGGAAGAGAACTAATAATTTTCCAATATATGAATATACCTACCAATTTATCAAGAGACGTTAAAATTTCTTTTTGCAGTATGTCATAATTTTCAAGGCAAATTATTTTTTTGAGCATGTCAGTGTTAGGGTTTGAACTCAGGCTTTTGTCTGGCTCAAGGCTGGCACTCTACCCCTTGGGTAAACCTCCTATTCCAGTTTTTTTCTGGTTAATTTGAGGTAAGAGTCCCACAGATTTGTCTGCCTAGACTACATGCATAAGCCTAGATATTGCAAAGGATTTTCAGCTTTTATTTAAGTTATTTGTTTATTTGCCAGTCCTGGAGCACTCAGGGCCTGGGCACTGTTCCTGAGCTTCTTTTGCTCAAGGCTAGCACTCTACCACTTGAGCCACAGCACCGCTTCCGGCTTTTTCTGTCTATGTGGTAAATGCCTAGCATGCTTCATGCATGCTAGGCAAGGACTCTACCACATTCCAGCCCTATGTTCACTTATTTTTGTTAATACCTAGAAATAAAAGTTTTATAATTTTATCTTTTAGTCATATAACTTATTAAGCTCTTATAAGTTTTGTTGTTAATTCTGTGATGTTTTCTGTGTTAAAACAATAACAGCAAAACATCATGTCATCTAAGAGTTGACAACTAGTTTTAGATCTATTTTTCCAATTTTTATGTCGTTTATTATCTGTTGCACTGGTCAGGACCTACAACAAAATGCTGAATGGAGCTTGTCAGAGTAGGCAACCTTATCTTAAGTTATAAGGTTAGCTTTACATTTTTCATAACCACCTTTCATCAGGCTGAAAAAATTCCATTCTAGTCCTAGTTTGCTGGGAAAAGTTGCTAAATTTTATTTCTTAAAATACAGTCGCTTGTATACTGTAATCAAAGGATGCTGCTGGTGGGGCACTAGTGGCTCATGCCTCTACTCCTAGCTACTCAAAAAGGTTGAGATCTGAGGCTTATGGTTCTGCTGTTCAAAGCTAGCCCAGGCAACAAAGTCCCTGAGACTCCTATCTTCAATTAACCACTGGAAAATGGGAAGTAGAGCTGTGGTTCAAGGTAGTGGAGCACTAGCCCTGAGTGAAAGAGTTCAAGGGCAGTGCCCAGTCTCTGAATTCAAGCCCTATGACCAACCAAGAAAAAAAAACAAAACGGTGAAAACAGGAAAAAAAAATCAGCTAAGTTCTACCATCCACTGGATTTTTTTCCAGCTTCATTTTCTATATATGGTTCATCTTTTCCTCTTTCTCACATAACTGAAATCAAACTGCATATATAATCTTAAGGGTTTTTGTTTAATATTTTTATCCCAATTATTTTCTTTATAGGTATACCAAGTAGTTTCAAGCTAGCTTAAAATGTGTCAAGATGTCACAATGCTAGTTTTATATGATAATAGTCATCATTCTTAAAATCACTGTCAAAACCACTTACCAGCTAACACATGTGTAGATAAAATATGTGAATCTCTCTCTTTTAAGCCTCAAGATTTTTGTCTGTATACAGAGTCAATGAAAACATACAGGCTAATGTGAAAACTAATAATATATGTAAAATTCTGAGTACAGCTCTTGTCACCTAGTAGATATTTAACAAATGTTAACAATGATTATTCCATTAATACAATGTGATCTCCAAAATATACCCTCTGCAGTGGCAGTGCTAAAAAGTGGTGAAAACAGAAAATCTCCATTATCAGCCTCAATACTTAGTAGTGGACTACGTAGATCTCAGGCTAGTTGTAACATGCAGATATGTTATTATTTAGGATGTCTTTTTTTGTGTGTGGCACTAAGATTGAACCCTTGAGCTACATACATGATAGGCAAGGACTTGACGACTGAGCTACATCCCCAACCCAGACGTGTTTTAAACTGTGTAAAAATAAGAAATGGCCAACATTTATAGCTCCTAAACCACAAACATGGTTATTTCATACTATTCAACTTAATAAGTGCTAAAATATTGTAAGCCTGCCACAAAGTACACAGATTTCTTGATATAGCAACAAGGAATCCAAAGGTCCGCAGGGCAGCAATTAGTCAAAAGAGAGCTCAGTAGTCATTGCTCTTCCCTTAAGATGGCCCTTGTCCTTTGTTATTTGTTATTGCCCACAGCCCTTACAATCTGACAATTTAGCTCATTTATGCTGGCTCCTGCAGCAATTAGAATTGGAAAACATGCACCACCAATGACTCAAGCCTGTAATCCTACCTATTAAGGCTGAGATTTTAGGATTGTGGTTCAAAGCCAGCCCAAACAGACAAATCTCACCTCTAGCAAAAAGCCAGAAATGGAGGTGTGGCTCAAGTGGTAGAGCACAAGTCTAGAGCAGGAAAGCCAAGTGAGAGAGAGTTTACACAAAAGAGGGGAGAGCCAGGCAGACAGGAAAGAGGAGGAAGAGAGGGAGAGGGGAAAGAGGGGGAGGAGAGAGAGAAGGAGAGGGAGAAAGAGAGAAGGGTAGATAGAGGACAGGGAGAGGAAGAGGGGGAGAGGGAGAAGAGGAGGAGAGAGAAAGAAAGAGGGGGAGAGGGGAGAGAAGAAGGGGAAGACAGGGGAGAGAGAGGAAGAATGAGAGAGAGAGAGAGAGAAAGAAAATTGGGGTTTCTCCTATAAACATGTTTAAAGATACTTGATGTAAGCCGGGCACCGGTGGCTCATGCCTGTAATCCTAGCTACTCAGGAGGCTGAGATCTGAGCATCATGGCTCAAAGCCGGCCGGGACAGGAAAGTCAGTGAGACTCTTCATCTCCAATAAACCACTAGAAAGCCAGAAGTGGCGCTGTGGTTCAAGTGGTTGAGCGTTGAGCGCTAGCCTTGAGCTGAAGAGCTGAGGGTCAGCGCCCAGGCCCAGAGTTCAAGCCCCTTGACTGACAAAAAAAAAAAAAGATACTTGATGCAGCCAAGGGCCAGAGGCTCACTCAGGAAGCTGAGATCTGAGGATTGGGTCCCAGAGACTCTAATCTCCAATTAACCACTTAAAAGCCGAAAGTGGAGCTGTGGCTTAAAGTGGTAAGTAGCCTTGAGCAAAAACAGATCAAGGACAGCATCTAGGTCCTGAGTTCAAGCCCTAGGACCGACAAGACAAGACAAAAAAAAAAAAAGATACCTGATGCTTACTAAGTTTTCAAGTGCTCTCTAACTGGGTCTTTTTTTTTTTTAAACTTCACCCAAATAACAAATTTTGCTTTACTATGTGGTGATAGAACAGAGCATATTTTTACTTGTTCACGAAGATCTATTAACTCAAGTCTCCAGTGTGTAAAAGCCAAATTACAGAAAAACAAACCCACAAAGGTAAATTATGGGGAAGACGTCAAGACATCCATGTATTTGTCTCTGTCCGTCTCCTCATCAGGTTATTACAACTCAGCAGTCCCTGGGGCACAATAACCATGCAAACCCGGAATGGGGGGCCGGGAGGGGCACGTACTGAACGCGGTCCCCACCCCCCTTCCCTCCGGATTGCCCTGACAGAGAAAGTGCTACGTGGCACGGGCACTTTGTGATCGCTTCCGCCGTACGTTTGGACACCAGGCCAGCAGGAGGGGATGGGGATGATTAGCCAGCCGAGCCCATCCCAGCCGTCAGAACTCCAAAGGAACCCGTGCAACACCCGCTCCTAGAACCCACGGATCGGCCGCGGCCCGCGGCGGGGGGTGCGCAGCGTCCCCGGAGCGCGGGGGTCGGGGCGCCGGGCCCAGGTGCGCGGGGCGTTAGGGCCGGCCCTCGCCACCCTAGCCCAGCCGTCCAGGAGGGTCGTCGCCGCACGGCCACAAAGGAGCCCAACGCGGGCACCGCCGGCCACAGGCGGGGAGGGGCCGGGCCGCGGGAGTCGGGTTCCCCACCCCCTTGCGTCCCGCCCGCCGCGGGGCCGGGCCCGAGAGCGCGGGGTCGCGAGTCCCACCAGGCCCCGGAGGCCCGGGCTCCGCGGCTCCGCGGGCGACGCTGCCTGGGCCTCATCCGGGTCTGCGGCGGCCGTTACCCCGCCCCGCGCCCGCATCCCCCCTACCTGCTTTGCCCGCCGCTCACCTGGTGGCGTCGGCCACGTTTCGGACGAACAGGGAGGTGTTGGGAGGCCTCGTGTAGCGAGACATGACCGCTTCCTACGCCCGCTTGGAGTCTGCCCGCGGACGCTGGGCTGGCTCGCTCTCCCGCCGCCGCCGCCGCCGCCGCCGCCGCCGCGCCGCCACAGCAGCTCCGACGGCCCCCGGCGCGACCCCCTCCCCTCGGCCTCGGCCCCGCGCAGCCGCAGAGCCCGGGCGCTCGGACCGACCGACCGCGCGGGGCGGGGGGCTGCGGGCATCTCCGCGGCGGCGGCGGCGGCGGCGGCGGGCGGGGGGCTCAAGTCGGAGGGCCTCTAGCGATGCGGCCGGCGGTAGGCCCGGAGACAGGATCCCGAACGAGCGTGGCGAGGATGAAGGCGGGCCCGCCCGAAAGCGCGTCTCGGCCCGGGCCCCTGGGGCCTGCTTTGGGTCCTCAAGCCCGTGACCCCGCCATCCCGACCCCTCTTGCCTAATTGAGCTTTTCTACCGGTGAGGGGGGCGTGCTCCTCTCCACCCCTCACCGGCCCCCGCACTCTGATTCTTCTTGTCGTGGTAGTGAGCTGGGGGTGCACGGTGGGCCTTGATCGTGGTAGTGAGCTGGGGGTGCACGGTGGGCGTTGATCGTGGGTGCACGGTGGGCGTTGATGGAGCGCCCACTAGGACGCTGCTGTAGGTGTGGGATTTGGCAAAGAACAGGCAGTGCAGGTCCCTCGGACAGGACAGACAGCAAAGGGATGAGCCAAGGATTAACATGATGTGCAAGAAAGCAAGTTGAAAGCATCTCTGCAGGTTACGGAAGATTTTAGGCCCAAACCTGAGTTCTGTGCATGGCTCAAGTCTAGCCACTGTCTCAACAGGCCAAACAAATCCCAAGAAGAGACTTAGTGAGGGGCTTAGGAAGAAGAAAGGTAGCCTGTCAACCCATCTTACCCTGACATTTGCTTTAGGTTTCAGGAGAAAGAAGAACTAGGGGCAAAGGAAGATGTATCTAATTATTTATCAGTTCCAGTCATCGGTGTGTTCTGTGGTTATAGGTAGCTACCACAAGTGGTCTGGTAACTCATTCCCTCTGGATTGATACATGGGGCCTGTTACAGTAAGAGCCATTTTGACTTCCAGGTGTTCTGGACCTTTCTAGATTTCAGTGTAGCTACAAATTAAAGGAAGGAGAGGATGGCCTGGGACAAAGGATATATAGATACAAAACTGAGGTTGGGATGCCAAGATTTTATCCAGTCTTTAAATTATAGGCTCAAGTTAGGAGTCAGTGCTGAGTTAAAAGCAGTCTTGAATAGTTAAACCCTTGCCTCTGAAATGCTGAAACCCAAGTTTTTCCTCTTGCCTTGCTGTTTGCTCCTGTATTGGGCCCAGCCTTTTACTTATGATTAGCACTGTGGTCAGGTCATTCTCTGAGAGAAGTGGTCTGCTTTGGAGTGTAAGTGATGTGAGAAATTTCCTAGATCTGTAATGCTGGGGAAAATGGCTCGTCATTCAAAAGAGATTGCTATTTGCTGGGGGAAGAGCAGGGGGAGGTTGGGGGTGTACAGTATGAGACTAGAAATACAATGGTGAGGAGAGGCAGGGTTTTTGTTTTTTGGTGCCCCACCCCAAATTTACTGTTTGGTAGGGAAATAGAATCTTCTCCATGTTCACCCCTACTCTGGGGAAATTAAACTCAGATCCTCATTTTTGCTATTTTTCTACCACTGAGCTATAACTCTAGCCCTTAGAGAGATAGAATCTAATAATTATACCTTTAAAGATACACACTGTGAGAAGAACTATAGCACTAGGACAAGATAGGAGTTAATTGGTAGGAGGATCTTGGAGGGAGACTCTAAGCAAAAGAGACTAAAGGCTGGGGCAGTGGCTTAGATGGTAGAACATTAGCCTACCAAGAGCAAAGCTATGAGTTCAAGACCCTGCCAAAGAGGGGGGAAAACTATATTGTTGAGAGAGAAACATGGGGATAAGCCGGGACAGAAAGGTACTTAACTCTTCTCTGAAGAGATTGCTTCTTCCACGGCAAACAGTGGTGAATACCTGAATGGAAGAGAGCAGTTGGTGTAGGGGAACAGTATGTGCGAAGGCTACAAAAAGAGGCAGCTGGAGAAGAACTAGAAAATGAGACTGCGGAAGAGCCTAGGTTTATAATAGGAACATTTGGACCACTTTGTGTTGACTTACTGAAGTTACTGTAACACTTTGTCACAATGTTAGTGGTTTTAAACAACAGAAATTCTTACTGTTTCAGAGATCAGATGTCTGAAATCAAGGTGTGGCCTTATTCCCTCTGAAGACAACAGAGGAGAATTGTTGCTTCTCTGTCTCAGTGGCCCCCAAAATTCCTTGGACACAACTCTAATCTCTATATACATTTGTTATTGGATTTGGGTGTTACTGGGTTAATATGACTTCATATTGAAATATTATAGCCACAAGATCCTTCCTTATTCAAGATCCTTATTCTAGATAAGGATACAGACAAGGTGTTACAACTTATCTTTTTTGGAGGCCTCCATTCAACCTAGTACACTCACTATATGAAGAAATGATACTGACTTGCTGGACGGTCAGCCTATACATTATTTTTTGTTTGTCTTTTGTTTTTCTTTTTTCCAGTCCTAGTGTTTGAACTCAAGGCCTGGACACTGTCCCTGAGCTTCTTTTGCTCAGAGTTAGCACTCTACCCCTTGAGCCATTCCTGGCTTTTTCTGTTTATGTGGTACTGAAGAATCAAACCCTGGGCATCATGCATGCTAGGCAAGCACTCTACCACTAAGCCACATTCCCAGCCTAGGCATTGTTAGCTAAAGGAACTCTCAGTGACTGGCCTTCATGGGAACTAATGTGAAACCATAAACCTACCTAGTTAAAAGTGTTCTCAGAGCAGGGACACAGGTGACTCACACCTGTAATCCTAGCTACTCAGGAAGCTGAAATCTGAGGATCACAATTCAAAGCCAGCCTCAGCAGGACAGTCTGTGAGACTATTATCTCAAAAAGCCAGTAGTAGATCTGTAGCTCAACTGGTAGAGTACAAACAAGCTCAGAGACAGTGTTCAGGTCCTGAGTTCAGGCCCAGGACTGGCACCATAAAAATGTGCTCTGTGTGTTCTTGTATAGAAATTTTTCAGGTGAAGGTATTGTACTCTTTTTTTTTTACTTTCTTCTTACCCTTTGGTACTTTCTGATTGGTATGTGTGTACGTGTGCCAGTAGTGGGGGCTCATGCTCTTGCTTTTTCTATTTAAGCCTGGTGTTCTACCACTTGAGCCACAGCTCCACTTCCAACTTTTTATTGGCTAGTTGGAGATAGTTCTTTTGGATTTGTCTGCCTGGATTGGCTTTGAATTGGTATCTTTAGATCTCAGCTTCCTGAGTAGCTAGGATTGCAGGCATGAACCAAGCTTTTGTAAGAGTAGAGGTAAAAGACAGTGTAGATGGGATTTATTTTTTTGTTTTTCTTTCTGTTCTTATTAATAAAAAAGAAGTTCTTTTCCTGTAAAGGGAAGGTCAGAAACTTGAAATGTAAAAGTTGATGGAATTAAAATAAGTTGTGGGCAACAGAATACTATGCTTCCATAGGAAAGAATGATATTGTACCATTTTTGAGGAAATGGAAAAACTTGGAAAAAATAATATTAAGCGAAGTAAACCAGACCCAAAGAAACAATGGTTTCCCTCATTTATTGTAACTAAGCTGTGTCTATAAATCTACAGGTAAATACACTGGATGGTAAAAGAAAAAAATATACTTGGACATGATAAATTATACAGGACTCGATACTTTCACATAGTGAGACCAAAGGAGGAAATTCTTAGGAGAGGATCACAAAGGCTTAATAGCTAAGTGCATATGATCATATAAAATGATGTTCATCAAAATGAATTCTAAGAAATGGAAACAAACGAGTTTTTTGTTCATTTTCTTCTTTGTTGCTTTTTTATTTATGTACCTTTTGTTGTGTATGCAAGTTTATCTGTTTGGGGGAGGGGAAAGGGGAGCACAGAACTGGTGGGACAAAGGGTGAGCAAATGCAGCAGGGATACTCACTAGACTCTATGTTGAAAGTAACTATACAACTTGGGGGCAGTCAGGAGGGAGAAACTGGGAGAAACTGAGGAAAGAGGTGCCACTGTTCAAAAAGAAACGTACTCAGTACCCCACTTATGTAACTGTAACCTCTCAGTACATCACCTTTACAATAACAAGAAAAAAGAAAAGTTCTGGAACCATGGTTATTTATATTTCCAGATGCAAATTGACATACCTAGTGAACAGTGTTCCAGCTGCTTCCTGGTTAGAAATTACAGAATGGACAATTATTCAAGCAAAATTCAAAATGCAGTAAAACTGACAAGAAAGTATTAGGAAAAGAGTATGCTAGGTCCAGCCACTCCCTCCTATACATCAAAGAGAAAGGAGATTATTGTGTAGTATAACAAGATAATATTTCATCTTCAGCTATCTTCTAGCATGGACGTGAATGTTAGGTTTGAAAAGAGGAAGAATTGGGCTGGGAAGTGGCTCAGTGGTAGAGCACTCGCCTCGCATGCATGAGGCCCTGGGTTCGATTCCTCAGCACCACATAAGCAGAAAGAAAAAAAAAAAAAGAAAAGAGGAAGAATTGAGCTAGGAAGGTGGCTCAGTGGTAGAGTGCTTGCTTCTCATGCATGAGGCCCTGGGTTTGATTCCTTGGCACTACATAAACAGAAAAAGTCAGAAGTGGTGCTATGGCTCAAGTTGTAGAGCGCTCACCTTGAGCTGAAGAGCTGAGGGAAAGAGCCCAGGCCCAGAGTTCAAGCCCCATGACCGACCAAAAAAAAAAAGGAAGAATTAAGGCAGGGAAAAAGGCATTCATAGTTTAAGAGTCCCAGTTATATTGTGGCTTGGTTGGTTATTATCTCAGTTCTGATTCTCTGTGGTTCCAGAGAATTGCTATGGTTAACATCATGTGAGAAAAACTGTCTTTTCTATCAAAGTATTGCTTAAAGGTTCTTGCTTTGGCCTGGGGACTTGGTTCTTGTTAAGGAAAAGAAAAATTGCTTTGGGATAAGAAAGGATTTGTAAAATGTAAGGTTTTGTCTTAAATTGA